GCGTGAAGCCCATCTCATCGATTTCCTCTTCCAACAGCTCACAGAAGAGGTTGATTTTGTGGTTGAAATAGGAAGGCAAGACCCCTTTCTCCAGGTAGCCGACCAGCTCCTCAAGCACCTGCTGGAACCTGTCAGCAAGGCTTTCTTCTGCCCAGTCCGAACTGGTGGCACTGAGGTGAAGGATGACGTGGGTCAAGGGGCTGCCGCTCAGTTTGTGCAGGGCAGGATGGCTCTTGCAGACGCCGTTCAGGATGCGGAGGCAGTGCTGCCGAGCCCCGGAGTCACCGGCGTCCAGCTCCTTCACCTTCGAGACCTCTGCCCTGTAAAAGCTCTCAAGCCAGAGGTTTTCCACCAGTCCTTCAGGAGGAGCAGCCAGAAGAACCTTGTCCTCCATTTCCACCACCGGGAAGAGGGTGATGCTCAGCTCGACCTGATCGTGTTTGACTTCCAGCTTCAGCTCCTGGGAGGCCACGACCGGGTAGATGACGCTCCCCAGCAGGCTGCCTATGGCAGGCCAGTTAATGGAGGCCACCAGCACCTTGTGGAGCGTCTCGTTGAGGACGTTGGAGGAGAGGTACCGTCCCACGATGAACCTGTCCCAGGGGCTGCGCCCACGAGGGAAATACTCCAGATCAGTCCTCTTGATCATCCAGTACTGGGGGTTCCTCACCACGGTGTCCTCCCCTGGGATGAGGCTCCAGAGCGCGACGTCGAGGACCACCGGCAGCATGAGGTGGATGTGGTCGGCTGCCAGAACCCCGAGGCCATCGAGCAGGGGACCGCTGAGGAAGAAGTCACCGAAGGGCAGCTCCGGGTACCTGCTCTGCAGGGAGTTCTGCAGTTGGGCACAGATGCCCCTGGCCAGCTGCGGGGCGAGGGATGCTTGTGACTCGGGCACGGCCAGCCGGCTGCTGTAGTGGGAGAGGAGCTTCTCCTGCAGCGTGAGGCAGCGCGGAGGGCTGGATTCGACCCGAGGAATCTCCGGAGGAGCAGAGCAGACCCTGGTCTCTGTGAGAAGGAGATGGGGTGGAGGAGAGGGAGAAGTCACGGCTCTGAGCAGACAGTCTGCCACCTACAGCAGCGGCTTTTACCGAGGGAGAGGCACGAGGTGGGCGCCCAGCTCTCAGCCCACCTCTCCGGGAGCGAGGCTGACCTTGCCAAGAGGGCCACCACTGAGTCCTCTGACGTTCACAGCCCTTCTCAGCCAAGGCAGAGCCCAAACTAACCTCAAAACCCGAGAGCGCCCGGCCTCACCCCCCCAGCTAGAGATGGGTAAACCAGGCTAAGCCCCAGCGGCCGAGCAAGGGACTCCCTGCCAGGGTCCCTACAAGTCTCGGCCCCGCTGAGACCACTCAGGCAGATTCCTCAAGTCCTGCAACAAAACACTCCTGCTCTAGGGCCAGTATCTCAGGACCTGCCAGGCCCTGAGCTTGGAAAAACGCCGTCTGCTTAGGCGGCCGGACAAGGCAGCCTTTGTCTCCAGCCGCTCCCGAGCGCACCTTCCCCTCGACAGAGCTGACCCAGAAAACGAGCGCAGCAGCCGCCGCTCCAGAAGAAACAAAGCCCCGACAGCCACCACCACGCCGCAGCCGCCGCGACGCCCAGGAGTTGCCTGTTACCGCAGGCATTGCCTAAAAAGGGGCCACGGCTCAGGAGCCTCCCGGGAGGGAGGGCACCATCGGGTCAGCTTTCCGGACACCGAGCTAAAAATAAACACGGAGCTCCCAGCCCGCGGGAAGCAGCGGCACAGACGGCCTGGAGCACGTCAAGGTGATCTTGCCGACCGCGGTGGGAGCTGGCACGCACACCACGAAGCTCACCTGGCACCGGCGGCCAAGCCGGAGAGAGCAGAGGCTCGCTGAGGTCTTCCCTTCTCTGCTTCTTGGGGGGTTTTGGTGTTGTCTTGATCAAGGCCAAGTCCTGCCAGCTCTCCTCCAGGGTCTTCTGCTCAGCTTTGGGATCGCCTTCGTCGCGAGGGCTGGTGGCTCGGTCTATCAGCTGGAGGGAAGAAAAACCCACGGGGACAAGTTGTTATCCTTGTACCATTTCCCCGCTGTCACGCTCTGAACTAAGGGGGACGACAGCCCCTGTGGTACAGGCACGGGGAGACACAGCCCCACGCGGGGCTTCTCCTGACAAAACCAGACAGTTTAAGGCGCACGTGTCCTTCCTGCAGGTTTTAAGCAGAAAACAGTCAGGTGTCCCAATGTGAATGAAGCCCAAGGTGCCATTTTGGATGGGACACCAGATCCCGAATGTGCTCTGCTCCGGGCAAACAGGGTGCGGGGCTGCGTGTGTCCCCGCAGGGCGGGAGCAGCCAGCTCCATGCCCACGGTGCTGCCGCCAGCGTTTTGGCCAGCCTCGAGGGACCAGCTCGGGAGCAGCCGGCGAGGTTGGTGCGGCGTCTTCCCCCACCACCACCGGGGAGCAAAGCGTCTCTCCGAGAGCTCCCGTCCTCCGAGCCCCCCAAAACGGCAGCTGCAGCTGTTGATGGAGGATCACCATCACGACAAACTTCTCCACACCGGTGCAGAG